TCCTTTTTTAAATTATTAGTAAATGTTTTGCCAGGTTCATATGAACTAAGCAGAACACTACCTCAAAAATCCAAGAAAATGAAAAGTGAGCTAACTATAATTAGGTGCTAATTAAGTGCCATATTCCCGAATGAAATGCTCCTTTTTTTTAAATTATTACAAATTTTGCCCGGTTCATACGAACTCAGCAGAACAGTACCTTAAAAACCCAAGAAAATGAAAAGTGAACTAACTAATAATTAGGTTTTATCTTAATTATTTATTTATTATTCCTCTCTTTTTCTGGACCCTCAACAGGCTTGCGCTCAATTACAGAGCGACCCGCATAATTATCAAGTATCACATAGCATCCTTCGTCCCGTGCCAGTGCTACGCTTGCACTTTTCATAATTCAACGCACAATATAGCAATTTGTTTTCGAAGTACGCCTTTGTAAAATTTGTAGGAACAACTTTTTTAACTTTTTGCGTTTAAAGTAATAAATTAGCACCTTTTAATACACCAAATCACGAACACTTAAAGACGTATTTTTTTTGTAAACACAGTGCTTGTCTGCTTAAATCATGTAAATAGTAGAAGTAAAAATTAAAAAAAAGGAACAGCACAGAATTTGAAAACAGGCCACTTAATTAGTACCTAATCAGCACCTAATTATTAGTTAGTTCACTTTTCATTTTCTTGGGTTTTAAAGGTATCATATGAACCTGGCAGAACCTGTAATAATTTTTTAAAAAAAGGAGCATTTAATTCGGAGATAGGGCACTTATAATTAGCACCTAATTATAGTTAGTTCACTTTTCATTTTCTTGGTTTTTTGAGGTAGTGTTCTGCTGAATTCATATGAACCTGGAAAAACATGTAATAATTAAAAAAAAAGAGCTTTTAATTCGGGAATAGGGCACTTAATTAGCACCTAATCATGATGTAATATGTTTGATTGTGTTCTGCTGGCCTTGCTCTGCTAGGTTCATGGGCATCATACTTTAGTTCGTCAAAAATTGTATATTTATCTAAAGTGTAATCTTTACTTTAATGAAAACAAATATCGATTTGACGTATTTTTTATTTTTTTCCTTATTAATACAAGTCGCTTTCGGCAAACGAAATGTATCTATATGAAACGACTAACCAGGAAAGAGATGCATTTATCAGTTTACGTCAAATTTCGATGAAATCATGCTAAACTTTGGTACCTACGTTCATTGTTTTGATTTCGATTTCTGTAAATATTTACGGCTAAGTAGAAAGGAGTGTTACGTAAGCAAACGCAATTATTTAAATAATATCGTCGAAAGTTCAGTATCCAAATCGCACTTAGGGGTGTTTTCGTTTCAGAGCAATAATATAATAATAACTGTACCTGTATCCCCTCCCCGTTTCATCAATTATAATTTCTTCATAAAAACTCACTTTTCCGAAGCATCTAATATTTTCCATCTTTGTTTAATTTTGTTAACAAAATCGGCCAACTAGCTCCCCGTTGTAGCTCCGAAGGGTAGATACGTGTTGTTTTCCGAGAGATAGCTTCTTGGTGATATCTTATTATTTCCTATGTAATATGACGTAGTATGGTCCGTCTCTTCTTAGGGTGGAACTTGCTGCTATCTCTTTCGTAGTGTTGCTTAAGGTGTGAGAGGTGACGAGAACGTGATCTCCTGGACGGAATTCGTTATTCTTTTGTTAGTTATGTGAAAGTTAGGTATTTATTGTATTAAACATCATTAAAATTATTTGGGGAGGTAAAAAATGAACTTTTTTTAATATGACAACAAAAAACCAAGATCAAGCTATAGTAACATGATGAAATTAATTAACTATTTTCCTTAATTTGAGATTTTCTCTTAAATTTGATTATATAGTACAATAAGTTTCTGTGCTGCTATCTCTTTAAGAATATGTAATGAAAACTAGTGCTAACTATTTAAAAAAAATGCCCCCTTTGACCATGCAGAAGTACGCCACTGACCACAAATTTAAACGTAGATAGCAAAATTTTTGTAATTTTGGATACTATAGAAAGCTGCTTGTTGTTTTGAAGATATATTCAGTGTTTTAGACAAAATGTTCACCCTGTATAATGTAAATTCTTCTTGAAAATCACCCTGACTCATTGTGAGTCCAAAGTATTGACTCGAGATTACCCCAACAGCTTTCTAGCGTTTTGTTTAAAGATCGTATCGTATGGGTAGGTATAGCACTCCCTAGGGATAGACGTTTTCAGGTCGCATCAACAAGTTGAGTTGGGTACATTTATGTTTCGTATTTGACAGTGGCCACCCCCTGGCTATGGGCCTGAGCCAAATTTAGGACTTCCCATCCCAGTGCCGTAAATTACGCGTTGGGGTAGGTCATGTCTATGAGTATAAAATTAAAGTAACATGAAGAGAATTGTCAGATGTTACCTATTCGTTCACTTTCAAGGTAGACGTGAAGTCTAGAAAAATCGCCCGATCGCACACACGCGTGTTATTATATTTTATTTTCTATTCTTCTCCGCTTTTAACCTTGCATTCTTTTACGCATATTATAAAACACCTTCCATAAGCTGCTCGCATAACCTTATACCTACTTTCGCTGTTTACGTCAATGAAATGTAGAGGAAGTTTTTGGCTCTAAATTGGCATACCTGTTTTTTAAGTTACAAAATCCGGCCCTGGCCACTGCTGCACGTACACCACACTTTTAAATGTGACAAATTATAATGCGTTTTTAAATAGTGTAAGTAAACAATATCAGTGGTAAATTTCCTATAATTTGTGAGGTTGGTATAATTTACTAATTTACTGTTGCAAAAAAAACTGGCCAAGCTCAACAATGTCCCTAGGCAAATAATATGTTTCGCGGAGTACCTGAGGGATTTCTTTTGGGACCTCTACTATTGCAAACAGGCATACAATTCCTTCCCGCTGGTCAGTGGTCAATTTTAATTGGATGTTTACTGGTCCTCAAGCGTTTTACAAAAAACTGGCGGCAGTGCCAAAAGCAAAGCGGCATATCTATACTTGAATAATTAATTAATATGTACAAAAAAGTAGCTTGCATCGTTTAAATTTAATGTACTAAATAAATAAAACATAAGATTTGTTTATTCCAATTTTTTATAAGAAAAAAACTGTCCGAATTGTTGTGTGATTAAAAGTAGAAATATATGCACACGTGTTAAACGACAGAATCTTGCAAGGCGAGTAGAACTGCGCCATTTCCAACTAGATAATGAACCCACACGCCGTCATTTTCATTATAATTAATTTAAAGTCAACGGACCGGAATGGAAAATTTCCCAGAGACGGAGGTGCGTAAAGTTAGCACCACCAAGTTTTTCAATCGAGCTGAAATGTTGCACACGTTTAGTGCTATAATCGTGCTATTTCGTGCTTTAATACCAAAATTCATGCTGCATAACAAAACAAGATATCTAAAAAAAACTGTTGGTGGTGCTAACTTTACACTAGCACCACCATGCTTTTTAATCTGTCTGTAATTTTGTCATAATTTAGTGCTCAATTCGTGCTATTTCGTGCTGAAATTCCAGCATTCGTGCTACATATTTTAAGCAGTTATTAGAAAAAAACCGTGGTGGTGCTAACTTTACACTAGCACCACCAAGCTGTCCAAATGTAATAAAACTTTGAAAACATTTAGTGATAAATTCGTGCTATTTCGTGCTGCAGAACTAACATTCGTGCTTGAAATTTTAAAAAAATATAGCACCAAAAGTGTGATTGAGCTAACTTTACACTAGCAGTAGCACCCTTATGCCTCCCGATCGAGATAAAAGGGTAAGGTAAAATATACTTTACCTATGTTTAAAAAAAACAATTTTAGTTAAAAAAACAAATTCAATTTACTTATTATAGACAGTTATTTTGTGATCAGCTTTATTGTTCCAAACGACAGCGGGAGTTTGTCATGACTCACCAAAGTGCGAATTTGATCGTCTTTTTACGGTGGCGTCCGGCATTTAAAAAATGCACTATATTTTATACTTATTACATACATCGTTTTCCATATCTTTTTGAATTCGGGAGACATTCGTTCCCTCGTACTTTTGTTCACCATTAGAAACATATAACTCTAATATTCTCTAAATCGAAAAAATTAACTTGAGAACTCTTATCTGGGTCCTAATTTGGGCTCGATTAATAACAAAACCAACCATTTACAGATGAAACAAATTTATTCGACAATCAATGAAATAAACTGCACAAGAGAAAGGTACTCGAGGCCCAATAACACATGTATTCCGCAATAACCCACACAACCAAAATTATCTGAAAGGTAACCAATAGTTAGACCTCTTATAAAATACAAGGTTACCAATGCTTAATCAAAAGCAATCCTACGGGTTAACTATGTCACAAATTATGTGTCTTTATTGCAACTTTTGGGAGTCCTAAGAGTTACCAAAAACTTAATTTCACAAAGCATCTGATAGTTAACTTTAAATAATGTTCTATCGGTTGACTTTGTGTCATGTCCAAAGTTTAACTATTATAGTTGACAATAAGCCATATTGGAGTGACATCTTTAGACCATGCCATATTGATGTTTAAAAAGCTAACTATTTCGTTCGTCTAAAGGTCAACCACAAAGAACAGTCGAAAGCTGACTACTGTGGTCGATAATATACTATGCTGTAATATTAGCTTAGAGGTGATTCTATATAGATGTTCAAAAACCAACTGTTTATGTTCGTATAAATATCAACAATAAAAAACATTCAAAAGCAGTCCACTATGATTGATAATATACCATACTGCAAAGTTATCTTTAGGGCATTCATGTATGGATGCTATCGTGAGCATGTAAAACAAACTTCAAAATACAAACAAAAACAATTTTTGAAATAATTCAATTTGAACCCTATGTATTAAAAAAGTAAGTTTGTTAATTAGTTTCCCGTTATAGAAAGGAATAAACTACCGTCAAACCTAACTTATATGTGACTTGGAGGATTAAATACCTATATGTATACAATCTAAGTACAAAATAAATCACAATACAGGATCACACGCTATATTGGTTCTTTAACAACTTATACATGTCACTATGTATCTATTATCTATAATATGACAAATATAAATAACATTTAAATAGTTTTGTCCATTTTTCTTATCCTTTCTGCCGATTTTCGAATCCAAACTTTGGTTGCAGACAAGACTTCTATGTCAGTGGCGTTCGGTATTATTGTTCTTACAGCAACTGGAAGTAACGGAAATAAGTAAAGTATACTGTATAGGTCCCTACTAGTATACAAATTATAATATTTTTTGCATGCTTATACCAAAATGCATGAAGCAATACTTTTGATTGCACAACCAAGTCAAATGAGAATCATTTAATTAAGAAAAATACTTGAATGGACACTGAAATGCCAAAACTAAATTAATCAAAACTGCAAGAATCAAAGTAAACACTTAAATTTAAAAAAATTCAACAATAGCGGTAATGCACAAGGGCGGTATTCAAGTGTATAATGTCCCTTATCCCGAGTGTACTACAACATAATGGTTAAAAAAATTTTGAAATTCTCAAGTGTCGTGTTCGAAGTATCAGACTGCTACAGAATATGTGATTGCGGGTACTTAAAAATTGATTGGACACACACCCGTGTAATAATTATATTCTGATTCTCTCATTGGTCCACTAGTCGTTGAATAATGAACCATTATTTACTATTGTTAATAATAATGGGTGGTATTATTAAACAAAAAAATGTATATAATGATATTATACAATAGTAGTCAAGAATTAGATTAATGTATGACACATGTTTACGAACAAATTATAAAATTCAATCATTTCAAACTATAGATCATCTACAAATTTAACAAAAAAAAGCTAAATTAAGGCTATAAAATATGACATCCGAGGAAATTAATTTCACTATTGAAACATTACACTGGCAATCATTTTAATAGAAATGTCCATTGAAATTGGTATGATTCTTCTTCATTCATCACACCAGACGACAGAGTCATTTATTTTGCTTCATATTTTGTTATAAAATCCCAGTATTAAAACAATATGAACTTACCTATAATTATTCGATTTATATTTAAATTTTGCAACTTGGTTTTTTCATTTGCCCCGATCCAGCTCAATCTGCTGCTAACAAAATCGGTCACAATAAGGGACCAAATCCTTCTTGTGGCATTTCCAACATTTATACCACCAACTGTAGATAAATGTTTTATCTAAAATAATAAAATTAGTAAATAATCCAGAAAATATTAACCACTACAAGTTTCTCACCAATGCATTGGCCTGTTGAGGAATCTTCGAGTATTCCTCTAATAGCAAAAATTCCTCGAGTGTTTTGGCTGGAAGATCGGGCAATTTTATATTTGGCTGTGCTAAGTTGTTTCCAACCGTTCGCTCGCTACGTAACAACTCCCTTATTTCCGTAATATCTGATTGCATGCATGCAACCTGATCGACAAGTTTTTCTAAACTTGTTGAAATGCCTCCACATACTAACATAAACAGAAGAATAAAATATTAGAGCCATAAAAACTGATCCAAAGATTACATAATTAATACGCAGACGTAAGTAACATAACATTATAATCAACAAACAAGTTCTTCTGCATAGGATGTGTAAAATATTAAACCTAAGAGTTGATAAAAAAATAAATCAAAAATTCAGTAGTAGGTGCAATAAAAATAAGTAGGGACCAATCCTAATCATTCACAAGTTTAAATCATTCTGTATAAAATTCTCCATAGTTTGACCGTAGGTTATAGATTATTTGAGGTAAGTATTTTTAACGGTTAAACTTCTTTATTGAAAATGTACCTAATGTTCTGTAGCGATCGATTTCGGTGTGTGCCTACTCCATCATCAGGATTAGCGTCAATGAATGCATGATATACATCGATGATAATGATAAGGGTGGTGAATTTCTCAAGAAGTGCCAAATTCCATTTAAAAAAGCTTTTTTTATGACTACTTAATTATATTAATTAAGAATAAAATTCATATTATTAATCTAGTCATAAAAAAGCATTTTTTAAATGGAATTTGGCACTTTTTGAGAAATTCACCATCCTTATCATTATCATCAATGTATATCATGCATTCATTGACGGTAAGCCTGAATGCCTGATAATGGAGTAGGCACAGGCCGAAATCGATCGCTACAGAAACATTACATTTTCAATAAAGAACTTTAACCGTTAAAAATACTTACCCCAAATAATTTTTAAATCATCCCTTTTTTAATGTAACCTTTTGGACCAGTTTTTACTGAGATAACGTTACAAGTGCAATGCATATTATATTAGAAATAATACCGCATCGTGTTTGAATGGAAATTGGCGATCGCTGTTGACGAATTGGTGAGGAAGACGCGATTGCAGACATAGGAACCTCGATTAACGGAGTCAATGTAGCATTTAATCCATCTATAAAATAATTTCTGTTTAAATCTTTTTCAACATATGTAGCATAAATATAAATTATACCTTCCATTGTAACATCTTCTGACAAATCGTCCTCCAACTCAAAATTGCTAACACTTGGAACAGGAGGAGGATGTAGTCCTGTACTGATGCGACTAGGCCCTGAACTATCTTCATCCGTACTTAAGTCGGACGTTTCTTCAGCTTGCACTGCCTTTTCTTCTGCTAGATCAAGTGAATCTGTAAAATATAATTTAAAAAATTTGGTTTCATCGGTTTGTAGCATAATACTCACCAAAGTACTTAACGTTGCCTTGTTTATCACGGAAGACTTTTGCGGCAAATTGTTCCCAAGAAGATTTCGGACTAACGCTTTGTTTAATTAACGGCCTTACAAGAGATGTTTTCGGCCAGAAACATTTGTCCCCTACAACCCACTTTTCAGGAACAGCTGACACACTATTCTCCTTTGTAAAATGAACAACGACATAACGACTCATCTAAATAAAAAACATAATAAACATTTTCGTTTTGAAATACATTAGGTACCTACTTGTAGAAGTGGCGTACAATCGAAGAAAAGTCAAAATGAAGAAATTTTATTAACAAAGCAATTTCTTAATATTGACAAATTTCTCCATGAGGTTATTAGGGTATTATAAATAAATTATAACAGAATATGATCGTTTAAAATAAATTATTAATGTGATTACCTAACTTTTTGTACCTGAAGATGGAGTTCAAACTCCAAAACTAGTTTAGTCACAACTGAAATAAATAGTGAACTTTTCATTGTAAATTAAAGCTATTTTAGTTTCTGTTTACAATTTATACTTCAATTTTGTACTTCAATTACAACAAGAGACACATATTAATAAAAATAACTAACTAAATAATAAAACTATGTTAACAAGTAATTTGATGTGAAAGTGGGAAAGCTGCTAACAAGTAATTTGATGTAAAAGTGGGAAAGCTGCGTATGTACCTTTATTTATGCTTATGGTAAACATTTTTTCTGATATATCAGTAACATGCCAAATACCAGTAGTCTGAGACAAATTTTCTAGTAGAACTATTCCTAATAATTTAGATTCAATTGGGTGTGTATAAAAATTATTGACCTTTTCAAACACCTTACCTACAATTACCAAGGAATTTTCATGATAACCGATTAATTCTGTAAAAATGTATACTCCACCTTGGACTCGAACGCATTGATTTGCCACTGAATTAGCAATAACAATATATTCCTTTGTAATTAACATTTTGTGAGTATTTGTCAGTATATTATTGTGATGTACAATTGGATATTGCATAACGGGTAGTTCCTGGTCATTATGCCTGTCTACTATTCTGGAAGTTAATTCATGAACCCTATTACCAATTTGCTGCAAAGGTTTTTCTGATTTCCTAACCATTTTCTTAATAGTCTGCATATAACTTTCAAATGGAAATGCACTGAACGAATCAATATTACCGAAAGTGTCAACACTATCTGGCAGATGTATTAAATTATGTACATTGTACGAAACTTGTTCTTTTCCATATAATGAACCAAATAGTTCCACAAAGTAAATTAATAAGGCTTTTGCAAATTTTCTATATTTTCTAAGAGAAATCGAAGCTAAAATACTAATTGCGCTATGTAAGCAAATGAAATGGTCATAATAATGTTGTGGTAAAACATCTTT